ACCCACCCACCCCTTTTTAAGTCTTGGTTTGACTTCAGGACACCCCACCATGTTAGAGGCCATGGAGACTACTCTACTGATCATAATCCCTTATTTGACAGGTAGGTAAACCAAGGCCTCAGTGTAGTAAAGGACTTGTTCAAGGTCACACACGTTGAATGATGCAACCATTGTTGGAACTCAGGACCTGGGCTCCCCGGCATATGTACACTTTTCACTGCACCATGTTGCCTTTACAATGTCATGATTTTTCTTACTGTCTTACAGAAACTCAGCACTCTTATGAATGTAGGCTATGAATTTAATTAATGGGGTCCTAACCCCTACTCAACCACTACCTGGGTGGCCTCTCTAAGCCTCAGTTCCTCTCTGAATATAGAGATGATAACTGTACCTACCCTTCAGGTGATCCTAAGGATAAATGAGATAATCCAAGTAAAGCCCAAAGCTTGGCACACAGAAGGCATTTGAGAAATGATGGTATAGGCATGGATTGCACGCATTGGATAGAACATCACAGTTAAACCCAGGAACACAGCCTCCCCATCCACATCCACTATGGGACCCTAGACTGGGGACCTGGCAGGGTGGGAAACAGGTCCCCTAGCCTCCCATATCTGGAAGAAGATTTCTCCCTTCTCCCCCCTTCTCCCCCCAGATCTGGAAGAAGATTTCCAAGCCAGGAAGCCGGGCCTGACAATGGGAGCTGAGTGACTCAGGCACCTGGGAACCTCTTGTTTTTCCAGAGTGACAACAAACACCTGTGCAAAGCCCCACCTGGGAGGACAATCAAAAGGCCACTGTTTTATTTTGCTTTGTTTTAAACCACACAGCTTCCCAGTCTCCTTTCTGCCACTCCCTCCGCCACCTCCACCAATGCTGTTCCAAAGTCAGACCTAAATCCACACCTGAATAACATATCCCAAAGAAGAACAAAGTTGGAGGGTCACAATACCAGATATCAAACTATACTGCAAAGCCATTTTAATCGAAACAGCCTGGTATTGGCACAAGAACAGGCATATAGATCAATGGAACAGAACAGAGACCCCAGAAATCAACCCACGCCATCATGGTCAATTAATATTTGACAAGGAAGGCAAGAGCGTACAATGGAGTGAAGACAGACTCTTCAATAAATGGTGTTGGGAAATTGGACAGGTACATGCAAAAAAAATTAAACTAGAACACCAACTTACTCCATACACAAGAATAAACTCAAAATGGATAAAAGTCTTAAATGTAAGTCACAAAACCAAAAACTTCTAGAAGAAAACATAGGCAGTAAAATCTCAGACATCTCACGTAGTAGTATTTTCACTGATATATCTCCTCGGGCAAGAGAAACAAAGGAAAACATAAACAAAGAGGAGTACATCAAAATAAAAATCTGCACAGCTAAAGAAACCATCATCAAAGTGAAAAGGGAGCCCACTGTGTGGGAGAACATGTTTGCCAATGATACATCTGATAAGGGGTTGATTTCCAAAATATATAAAGAATGTATACAACTCAACACCAGGAAGACAAACAATCAAATAAAAAAATGGACAAAGGACCTGAATAGAGACTTCTTCAAAGAGGACATACAGATGGCCAAGAGACATATGAAAAAATGCTCAATGTCACTAATCAGAAAGATGTAAATTAAAACTACAATGAGGTATCACCTCACACCTTCCAGAATTGCTATGATCAGTAAGTGAGCAAACAAGTGCTGGCGAGGGTGTGGAGAAAAGGGAGCCCTAATGCACTGCTGATGGGAATGCAGACTGGTGCAGCCACTATGGAAGGCAGTTTGGAGGTTCCTCAAAAAATTAAAAATGGAACTGCCGTTTGACCCGCAATCCCATTTCTGGGAATATATCCTAAGAATCCTAAAACACCAATCAGAAAGAATATATGCACCCCTATGTTCATAGCAGCATTATTTACAGTCACTAAGATCTGGAAACAGCCCAAGTGTGCATCAGTAGCTGAGTAGATAAAAAAAGCTGTGGGACATTTACACCATGGAGTACTACGCAGCTGTAAAAAAAAAAAGGATCTCTTACCTTTTGCAACAACATGGATGGACCTGGAGATTATTATGCTAAGCAAAGTAAGCTAGTCAGAGAAAGACAAATATCACATGATCTCACCTATGTATGGAATCTAATGAACAAGATAAACTGACGAACAAAACAAACAGGCATGGATGCATGGAACAGACTGACGGATCTCAAAGGGGAGATTGGGGGGATGGGAAGAGATTAACCAAAGAACATCATATATGCATATACGCGTAACCCATGGACACAGACAATAGTCTAGTGAAGGCCTGGGGTGTGGCGGGGGCTTGGGTGGAAGGGGCCAAAGTGGGGGGGAATGGGAGACATCTGTAATACTGTCAATAATAAAAAAATAAATTAAAAAAATCGTATACTTCTACAAAAAAAACATACCCCAATATAACTGATTGAGCTCTAAATCAAGCACCTAAAGAGGGAAGCTGCATATTTAAAACACTAAAAGGTAACATTTGTGGAGTATTTGTTATGTGCTAGGCCTGCACTTTTACAGAATGTGTCTTCCAACCACCCCAGAGATTAGGACCACTATCATCCCCATTTCTCAGAAGAAACTGGGGCTTAGAGCTGTTAGATGACTTGGACAAGGTCTTATACAGCAACAGGTAACTGGAGCAGGAAGATCCAGGCTCTTAAACTCTTAACAGTCTCAAGCATTATATTATGGAGCCTTGCCAGCTATCAAGACATAGAACTCAAAATGCCAGTCCTTTTAAAGGGCTGTTAGAAAGGATCAAATCCAGCCTTTTTCCTGTAGGGATGAAGCCACTAAGGACTGAGAAGCAGGGATGTGCCAGAGATCTTAGAACAAGTTTGTGATTAGTTCTTGGGATTAGAACCCAAGTCTCCTGCTTCCAGATCAGTGCTATTTCCACACACCTCACTGACGGGAAATGGGGCTTCCAAAGCAAACAAGCACACGTATCATGCCATTTCGTGAACTGGTGAGCCAGGGCCTTGGCTAGGGGGTCAGTCAAACTCAGGGCAAGCTGCCAATGAACAAGAAAAAGAGCAATTGTGGGTCTGAGTCCTGTCCTTAGATCCAGTCTCACGTGTCCATAGCCTGAGGCCATCTCAGGAATGTAAAAACCCTCCCCTGGATTCTAGGTGCTTTTTGCTGTTGGGTGTGTGTGTATCTAAGAGAGATTTCAGTGATAGTTAAATGAGAAATGTGTGTCAAGCATGTGACGTTGACTAAAGTACTAGGTAATTGTGTCTTTTGCTAACAAGTAAATAAGTGAGCAGAGTCTGAGGTCCCTGCTTCCCACCCTCAGTCTGAGAAGACTTTTTTTTAAATATATCTTTATAGATTTCAGAGAGAGGAAGGGAGCGGGAGAGAAACATCAATGATGAAAGAGAGTCATTGATCAGCTGCTTCCTGTGTGCCCCTTACTGGGGATCAACCCTGCATGTGCCCTGACCAGGAATCGAACTGCGATCTCCTGGATCTCAACCGCTGAGCCACACACGCCCAGCCGGGCAAGAAGACATTTTTAATTCTCTCTACCTACATCCCAAATAACTGAATGAGGGCATAGATAGAATCAGTAAGAGAGCCTTCACTGTGCACGTTCATACGGCACCCATAGTTCCTGGAAGCCCCAGGCCTCCCCTGCTCCAGCTGCTCTCCCACAGCGATTACAGCCCTGCCACAGCGATTACCCCTCCTGACCGTTCTCTGTCTGTTTCCTCACCCATAACATGAGGGTCAGAACAGTGCCCAGCCCACAGGGTGGAGCAAGTGAAATGCCACAGGGCCTGGCATCAGCGAAAAGCAGCAGCGATAATTGCGATGACCAACCCTACAGAGCGGGCAGGGACTGTTCAGCTCCTCTTTCCGGTGAGGACCCCATGGCCTAGAGGAACCTGCCCCAGACCTCACAAAGTGTGTTCTCGGAACTGCCAGGCCTAGAAGGTCTTTCCTGTTTTTCTCTTTGTCCAGCCCAACTATTTCCCCCGAATCCCTGGACCTAGGGTTTCTAGGGCACCACTGGAGGAGAGGAAAGAGCAAAGTGACACTGGGGGACATTCCTAGCCTATGTGGCCTTGCCAGGCCCCTCCCATAGTTCCTAGGAGCCCCAGGCCTCCCCTGCTCCAGCTGCTCTCCCTCTGGCCTCCCTGTCTCCAGGTCAGGGTGTCAAGCAGATCTGGGTTTAGATCCAAACTTGCCCCTTGTCATCCTCCTGGAAGTGGGAAGCAGTCAGCCAGGCCCAGCCCAGCCCCTGAGAGAGGCAGACCCATGGGAACCAGGGCATTTTCTAATCCTGGGAAGCCCTGGCAGGGCCCTGAGAGCAATCAATCCGCCTTCAGCCTCACCCCATGTCATCTTATGCTCCCTCTTCCAGGGCCCCTCCTGCTTCTCCCACCCAGAAGCCATTGTCAGTGACTTGGCCTCCACTCCTTGCCACTCCTAGCCAGGGACTTCCCTGGGCTGGGCCTCTGACCAGCTTTGGAAAATCTGGACTGTTTGCGATCAAAGAGGAGCCGCATCACCACTGTCTGTCATGCCTTCACCCACTCCTGCTGCCTCGGGCTCTCTGTTAAAGGTTCAAACAGAAAGGTCCAGCTGGCCCAGGAGGAAAGCAGGTTGGGAAGTGCTCCAGAGATCCACTTGCTCCAGTGTTAGAGGGTGCCAGCCTCCCATCGTGTCCCCAAGGAAGGTGGGGGTGGACTCCTACCTGGTCACTTCCTGTCTAGCTTTAGATCACTAAAGTTCCCAACACATCCACACACACCCCTCACACACAGACACACACTCACATAATGACCCAAACATCCCTACATACCTATACACTCCCCTCACATACAACCACACACATAATGACCCATACCCCCACAGACACACACCTATACACTCCCCTCACACACACATGCTCTCACATAAGACTCAGACACNACCCATACCCCCACACACACACACCTATACACTCCCCTCACACACACACACACATGACCCAGACACACACAGACACATACATACAAACACAAAACATGCCTACACACTCACACAGACGTACACATATACACCTCAATAGATCGGACACACATACTCGCAAACACAGACACAAGTACTCACACACACACACATCTGTGTTCACACTTATGAACCTACTCCCCTTTCTTGGGGGAAGAATAGGCTAAAGAGAAACCTTTCTTTTCCTTCCCTTTGGAAAAACTAGTTATGGACTAGAAAAAAGGACAGTCTGAGAAGGCCTGGCTAGAAGAAGAGGGCAGAAAGAGGAAATAAAAGGGGGAGAGAAGCAAGAGAGTGGGGCCCGGCAAGCAGGTAGAGAGGCCCAGAGCCCAAGCCCTGAGTCGGGGGAGAGGGAGTGGAGCCGGGCAGCCGACCCCAGCTGGCAGGAAAGTGGGAGGCCGGTGGCTCGTGGCCCAGAGGTGGGAGGGTCTGGTGGGCCCAGCACCCCTGTGCAGTGAGCCCTTTGCCCTGTCCTGCCTGGCTCACCGCCCCCAGGCTGGTCACTCACCTGGAGAAGGCTGGAGAAGACCGGGTGTGTGCGGCGGGGGCTGCTGGCCTGTGACGGCTGCTCCGCTCGCTGTGCTTCTGCAGGAAGGAGGGCTGGGCTGGGCTGACTTTTAGGCAGGAGGGGAATTCCCCGCGATGGAGGAGCCAGGCAGCCACACAAGGCCCAGCAGAGGCCCCTTCCCACCCCCTGGCAGAGCACAGGCCCCTTCGTTATCAGTCCCCACCTGTCACTTCCCAGCCTGGCTGCCGCTCGCTGTGAATTCCAGGGAGAGGAGAAGGTTCTGGGGAAGGGCTAAAAGCCTGCTAATTCTGTGGCTGGTCTGACAGCTGGCACAGGGCAGGGGCCACCTGGCCTCCCCATCCCC